CTGTGGGCACATGGGTTGTTAGAAACCAGAACCATAAAGAAACAATAAAATTCTCAGTAGACAAGCAGAACCCCCAAAATGTTAAGCTACAGGATCACATAATGATGGTAGTAGCAAAAAATAAATCACAAAATTAAGTATAATATTATTAGGATATGCTTGTTATGGCTTTCTGGTATTGAATATAACCCTTCCTATGATTCTGAAAAAAATTAATATGAGTTATTTATAGTTTCTTTGGAGGGGAAAATCAAGGAAAAAATTACACACTTGTGTCAACTCCAAGGTAGAAAATAAAAAATTCCCATTCCCATGTAACAAGCTGACAGAAAACATCCAAGAAGAAATCTAGACTTCCAAAAATCTGATGACTCAGGTCTTAAAATCAATCTCACTTAAATCTTAAAGAACTAAGAGATCCAGCTAGCATAAAGATATTAGATATTCCTTTACTTTAACTTTTAATATCCTATGTATTACACAGCATTGTTATATATTTTTTTATCACAAAAGACAGTGGTTCCTGAATGTCCTTCTTAGGTGAACACTTGCACAGAAGGTACTGAAAAGAAATAATTTAATTTTTAGAACACACTTGCAGAAGGCCTTTTACTGCAGGTGTTGTTGAAGTAGCCTTTAGGGGCCCGGTATCAGAGACACAGAAAGAAGTATGCATGGGTGAGCAGAGCAGTATGGAAGAAGGGAAACACAGAGAGATTTTGCAGAAGCATAGGTCTCCTTTGTTTTCTGTATCATAGAATCCCAAAACTGAGGGGTGCGGTCACAATAATGGAAATTAAAATGAATGAGTAGGTGATATAGGGGGAGATGGAAAAGCTAGCTTCGGGGAAAATGAAAGAATCCTACAGATCAGCTTCCCAGTGGAAAATAAGAGAATCTTATTGAAACATAACGTATGGGAAGGTGTGCAGATCATAAATGTGTACTGTAAAAAGTTTTCATAATGGAGCACACCAGCGTGTTAATTAAGAAACAAGAGCCATCCAATCATTATCTCCCCAAACATAAACTTTCACATGATAGATTAGTATTTTCTGTTTCTGTACTTTGTGTAATAGGAAGAAAAGACTATCTAGTCTTTTGAAGTGGGTTTCTTTCATTCAATATTTTTCTTATGACATTTATTCACATTTCTGCCTTATACTGAGAAACAATGATTTGCATGGTTATAATATTATTTGATGGTATTGGTATAGAAGAGTTTATAGCTTGAATTGTCCAGGTGAAGGGAATAGATCCTGTCTCCTTCTGAAGTTTCAACATTTGATCATCTACTGAATGAAACCCACAATAGACGGACTAAGAGGAGAAAAGATGTATACATGTGCATAGGGTGTGACAAGAATGTAAGTACCAATAACTGCACAAGGTTCAGAAGCACACAGGCTCTTGTCAGAAGAGAGAAAGATGAGAGAATGTCGGCAACTGGAAGGATGAAGTGATTTTTAAGGAAGTTGAATAGGTCAAAGAGTAGACAAAGATTTGTAAACCATTGTCTTGGAAAACTGAACAGGATCAAAGAACAAACAGTAGTTTGTGCCAATGTCTTTCTAGGTATGTTGATATTCCTGTCCTCCTTCCTGTGACAGGAGTCTGCTCTTATCTTGATGGTAATTTCAATAAGGGGATCTAAGTGAATTTTGTCCCTTTTGGAGGAACTTCAGATGACTTAACGTCAAAATGAAATTTCTACCCTGTGCCTGGGGGAAGACATAGAAGGTTGGGAAGAATTTGGTTCTGAGGCTGCTTCTAAAGCCTTTCAGTTTCCTTCAGTTCAAAATGTTCAGCATGCCAGACCACCATACTTTTATGTATACTGAGCCCCAACAGAGGTTGTTATGGAGACTACTTCTCTAAACATTCCAAAACTTTTGGTTCATGAGCATATGCATGCATTTCTGTTGTTTATATGCCTATAAATAAATTTTCTGGGCTGTGGCATGTGTATGTCTAATTTCAGTTGATATTGACGTGAATTTTCCATGCACTTGGGAAAATCAATTTACGTGGGAGACAATTTAAGTGACTCCCCTTGAATGCAGAAAAATTGCTGCAACTTTAATTATATGGAGACTTATCTCCTTATACTGATAAGTACAGAGCTGGCTATGGTATTTTCTTTTTTCTTCAATTGGCTCTAACCATTGCAAATAAGGCCAGCTGAGGTACTGGTATGTAATCTCTAAAGCCATCAGACAGTCTCCTGTTTTCTTGCGTAGTGTTCTCTCTAAAATATATAAGAATATCAGGATGGTAGAGCCATTCAGCTCCAGAAATGTCAACTGTATGAGCTTCAAGATAAAGAGGCTATGACTCCCCAGGGCACAAAATTTACATATCAGAAACCAAAGCAACAGCCTCCTGAAACAATTCAGTTGCCACCTTAATTGAATTATGCAAATTGATCCTTCTGTGTATCTTTATCTCTGCATTTTGCAGAGATGCTTTTTCCCTACCTGGCTAATCAGCTCAAGGTAACTCTCTCCATCCTCACTGCCACTCATCCTTGAGCCACCTCCTTCTCCACAAAATAATAAATTCTGGGAGAGGCCTAGGATCAGGGCTTTTGTCTGCACATTCTTACAGGGATTGCATTTAGGGCCCCTTTGCTGCCCTTAACTTGGAATTTGTGTTGGTGTCTTTATTCTTGCTATGAGATGCATTGGAGGTGGTAGATTGGAATTAATTTGCTGGGATTCCAATATCATCTAAATGAGTTTACAAATATAACTTTTTGGATTGTGAGGAAAACTGGAAAAAGGATTACAATAGTTGGATGACTATATACAATATTTGGGACTACAATATATATTCCCATTAGCCTTGATTGGAAGTTCCCATTGTTTCCTTCAATTCATAGTGTTTTGTGACTTTTTATTTTAGATAGTCTGGTAGCTACCAAATAGGATCCCAATAGACCACCCTAAATTATATCATTTGATACTCACATTATTTTGGCAGAAAGCACCTGAGAAACAGCAGACGCAGGGGTCTCTGAATTCCCTCTTCATGCCTAAAGCGAGGCATACCGCTCCTTTTGTCTTTACTCCTATTTCCTTCTCCCATACTAAAAGAAAGCATGCCACTGTCATGACAGAAGAGAAGTGGCACTAAAAATGAGCCTACAGAAACAAATCTTCTTACCCTTTAATTTACCCTTCCTATGTTTGTTTTCCCACAATGTATGCCTCCTACACCCCCTTTCCTTCCCCATAATCCATTGCCTATTGTTAAAATGACATGTAAGACATCAAATCTTAATAAAATCATTGTTTTGATTTCTTTTCTGTGAAGTTTGTATGTGTGTATTTAAATAAACTCTTTCCTCTACTATGTTTTTTTTTTTTTTCCCAGTATAATTCACAAGCTTCAATCATTAAACCTAAACGGATAAAGAGAAACATTTTTTTCTTCCCCTCCGTAATGGAGTAATATCTCACTGTAGTTTTACTTTATACTTTTCTGTTAGCAAATTGATGTACTTTCACGGATTACCCACTTCAACATCTCTTCTTGTATGAATATTCAAGTTTTGTTTGTTTTTGCCCATTTTCCTGTTGGGTTGTTGTCTTTTTCACACTTATTTGTATATGTTTTTGTTCATTCTGGATACAGATCACCTGCCATGTATACATTTACTTCAAAGGTCCCCCACTCTTTTGGTTAATTATACAAATTCCTCAGTTTAAACTGGACTGGGACTTTTTAAGTGCCCCAGAATAATACTGTTATTATTGCTAATAACAATGAAATGCCACAGAATCATTCATCAAGAGACAGAGAAGAAATGAAAGAGCAATTGAAGAAGAAGAGACCTATGGATTATTTGTATCATCAATGGTCCCATGACTCCCGCAAGAAGCAAACACTCCCAGTCTCATTTCACAGACACCGGAACCTAAAGTCTAGAGAATTTTGAAAGCACCCACAAATATAACATCCTGAAGAGCCAGCCTTGTAAATTGCTTGCCAGATGTTGAACTCAGGCTGTACATCAACTAATCTTGACGCTTCTAACCACAACACTTCACTGTCCTGCCAGGTCTCTTATGTATAGCTGTAATAAAATTGAATATTGCTTTGATGTAGTACACCGGAAATTTGTAAATGCTTAGTTAATTGATGACTTTGCCATGCCAGTGCTGAAAAGCATGACTTTCCACAGTATTTTCAAAAAGACAGCTGTCTGGTGATCTTCACGTGACCTTCTCAGCTCACAGTATACCAGAGTTTTGATAAGTGCTTGTTGGATGTACAAATACAGGAATGAATATGTGCCTATACACAAGAAATCTGCATTTTTATGTTGACTTTCTGCAGATACTACAAGTGATAAAATAGGATTTACAGTGTTCTCAGGTATTTTAAAAATAACTCAGGTTCCAGTTGTCCAAGACAACTCCACCAGGTGAATTATTTTAAGCCTTCAGCTCTGAGACTAACCTCTGTGCTGACAAAAATAGGCAAGTGAACAGCTGCAGCAATAAAATGCACCATGGGTCCTGGCGTGTGTGGTGCCAGCAAAACAGAGCAAGAAATTTTAAGAGCTGGGAGGAGATACAGCAGAAAGCTAGCTTCGGTTCTTTACAGCAAAGAGAGGAAAGCAGCTACGAGCAAAGGGAGCTTTGCAAGCACCAGATAGACCAAATTTAGTTCATATCCGAAAATATTCCATATGTCTATTTTGAGTTATAAATGTTAGAGCTTTTCTTTAGAAAAACTGCACAACTAGTATCAAAGTGCATACAAAGCTAATGGAACTGCACACAACACTATTACATGGAGAGGAGCTGAAATCCTTGCTTGTATAGAGTAATAGCTGCCATCATGAGCCACCTTAGTCCTTTTCCTGTTGCTGTAAAAAAAATCCCTGTGCTGTATAATTTGTGCATAGAAGTTCATTTGACCTATGACTCTGCAGTCTGAGATGTCCAGAGCTTGGCACAGGTAACTACTTAGCACAAAGCAATGGCTTCCTGGAAGCATCATAACATGGTAAAGGGCATCATGTGGCCAGCTAGCCAGAGAAAGCTGATTTCTATAATAAAAGCACTCCCTGGTGTTGGGAGCCGTGGCACTGTCAAGTCATCAGACGCGGTGATTGCGAGGCCTGTGGGAAAGTACAAAAGCCTGGGCTAGATTACCCCTCTCATCGAGCCCGCCTGTGTGGCACCTGTTTCTTATCACCCCACTAAGTTCCCGCCTCACAGGGTAGTCTGCCTAGCTATTAATCCTATATATAGCCAGTGCCTCCACCCCCGAGAGAGAGAGAGACAGAAGCACAAAAGGAGCCGCGGGGAGCGGACCGGTAGAGGCTTCGGGGCAGACTGTATAAGGAGAGAATAAAGAAAAGCCTGACCACCGCCAGACCTTGTCGTGTGTCTTTCCTGCCGGCCGGGAGCGGACATCGACATTTGGTGGCCCGCACGGGGATTGATCAACCCCGAGACGCGGCGGTGGACTGCATTCTCCTACACAGTGCTGCAGCTGCAGGACAGGTGAGTAGAGGATAAGCCTGGGCCCTGGGTGGCGCACACCTACAGGGTTTGTAGACTCCTCTCAACCTCACGCGTAAGTGGCGGGTTTCTTGGGCCTCACGCGGTGAGTATGAAACATAACACCAGAACTTAAGGTAATAAAAGAGTGTAAAACATAAACATAGAAGTAAAAATAACAGAAGATATATTAAAAATGGGAAACATGCCAAGTAAAGATACACAGCCTTGGTGTTGGTCCTTCGGAGACTCCTAAAGTCCAAGGACCTCAAGGTGGGGCGTAAGACTTTAGAAAATTTCCTTGCAGAGATTGACAGCTTTGCTCCCTGGTTTCTGCCTACAGGGCATGTAAACCTGCCCTCCTGGGAAAAGTTGGGCAGAGACCTTTCCCTAGCAGAGCGGGAGGGTAGAGCTTCAGTCTCTGCTCGTCCATTGTGGGAAATGATACACACGTGCCTAAAGAGTGAGGGTAGTTACGGGGGGAGCTCTCAAGAACTTGTAGAAGTACGCGAGGTGTTTGAACAGGCACAGTGAGGAAGCTCCCGAGAAGGGTCCGTCAAGGAGGGCAGAGATACAAAAGAGGAAGTCGAGGCGCGGTTTGTGTCTTTCCGCAGGAATCGGGACGAGAACCAATGTGGGTCCCAGAGAGGTTGACGCGACAAGTCCCTCGACTGAAGATCAGGCCTGTTCCACCAGAGGCCAACCGCAGACCCAACAACAAGATGAGCCCTAAAAGAACTGCAGGACAATCCCTTTTTGGGGGCCTGGAACGGCTTGCTCCCCTATGTGCTACCCTTGTATACGCATGGCTCGCTCGCATGGCCTACGACCGCGTTTAAAAGTGACAGGCTTCCCACATTCTCCTCCCTAGACAACAACATGTAGCAGGGTGGGTGAGTCAATGACGGGTAAGAGCGTGCCTCCCCAGCACGACTCAACCTAAGCCAGGCCCTACCCCGTTCCGCTCGAAAGCCGCTGGATTGTTAGATAAGTTTCTCTCCGAGGGGATTCGTGGAGAGAAATGAGTGCATGCCTATGTGCAACCAGGTTCCGTCCGGTTCATTCCTGGCCCTAGAAAAAAGGACGAGGGCCTCAGGGCCTTGGTGGACCCTGGGACGGCCGACCAGGGTCTACGCTAAGGGCCTACGGTGGGCCTCAGTTCGGGGCATAGGCCTCTGCACTCTATCCAGGACGGGCTGCGATGCGCGTAGCCATCATTTAAAATAAAATAGGGGGAGATGTTGGGAGCCGTGGCACTGTCAAGTCATCAGACGCGGTGATTGCGAGGCCTGTGGGAAAGTACAAAAGCCTGGGCTAGATTACCCCTCTCATCGAGCCCGCCTGTGTGGCACCTGTTTCTTATCACCCCACTAAGTTCCCGCCTCACAGGGTAGTCTGCCTAGCTATTAATCCTATATATAGCCAGTGCCTCCACCCCCGAGAGAGAGAGAGACTGAAGCACAAAAGGAGCCGCGGGGAGCGGACCGGTAGAGGCTTCGGGGCAGACTGTGTAAGGAGAGAATAAAGAAAAGCCTGACCACCGCCAGACCTTGTCGTGTGTCTTTCCTGCCGGCCGGGAGCGGACATCGACACCCTGGAACATCTGTTAATCCATTATTCCCTAATACATGAATGGGTTAAACCATTCATGATGCCTCTGACCTCCTCAAGTCATGAAAGAAAGAGCAACATCCCTGGGTGCAGTCGTGGTATTTGACTTCATTCAAATTTTGTCAGTTGATTTATTCAATCATTTAGAAAAAGCCGGGGGCTGGGGATTTAGCTCAGCGGCATAAGCACCTGCCTTGCAAGCAGGCGGTCGTGAGTTCGATCCCCGGTATCGATAAAAATGAAAAAGACAAAAAAAAAAAAAAAAGCCATGAATTTACTCCATAGGCCCATTTTGCCACCCATAACATAGAGATGATAACACCTTTCCTATTTACCTCACATTAAGTAAAAGTATCTTCACATGCTAATGTTAATACTGGTGTTAATCTCATATTTCTTTTCATAATTTCTGTATAAGTTTTGAACCTTTTTAAAAAACTAAAATAAAGAAACAAATAATACACATGGCTCTATAATTCCTCGACTGTATTGTAGTTGTATTTTTTTTTTTTTTTTTTTTTTGAGGGTGAGTACCAGGGACTGAACTCACAACCTTGGGCTTGCCAGGCAGGCATTTAAGCTACTGAGCTAAATCCCCAGCCCCCCAAAATTGTAAAACTTTAAACTGTTTCGCAAGTCATTTTGGCAGCAAAACTTCATCTGACATGAATAGACATAGAAATAAAACTTTATACTATTTTGAAGCTTTTTATTTACTGAGTCTCATTTGTTAAATATTCATAACTTTCATGACAGAAATGCTAATGTGTTCAGTTAATGATACTGCTCAAGACCACTTTATGAGTATTATAGAATATATAGCAAACATGCTCTTTAAAATTTTTAAACACCCCCAAAGTTCTGAACTTTAAAATAGATCTGGTCCATAGCTATATAAGCTTGCATTAAAGCAGACCATAATATATAAATTATAACCAAATGCCTATGTTTTGTTTTATCATTATTTATCCTGTTTAACTTTCTACTTAATATTTTTCTGCATAAACATAAGCCTACAATCAGACACGCAAACAGGTCTGCACCAAGGATATTTCATCCAGTAAGAACAGTAAGACATAGGAGCCAGAGCTTGTGACATTTTTAAATGTTTGCAAAAAATTGAGTAATGAAAAAATTTATTGGCTTCAAAATATGAAAATAAAACAGTAAATCCAGATCGTCAAACTGTGGACCACAAAAATCCATGAAATATAAAGCCAGCCACTTCATCAGCTTTTAAATTTAGCACTCATAAAATACCACCTCATTTGAAAACAACTTATAGCTTCCAATTTTCCTCACTTTGTGAGAATGCTCATGTATGCACAATAATTGTTGAGAAATGATAACCATCATAAGTTATATTTGTTCTTGTAGCCTAATGATTTCAAAAGTAAGGAAAATGTTTATAGAAAAATATTATGTTTGTCTTGAGATGTAGATGCAATTTAAAATTATGTTACATAAAGCAGAGCTTATGGTAGTAATAAATGAAGTTTGGCCATGGGTAGAAGTGCCCTAATTCTGCCAGTGCTGCATCTAGGAAGGATAGAAATTGGAGTGGGGTAGTTTTTATAGATAGCATAGGCAATTAGCTTTCTTTTAAATTACCTAAACAACTGCCAATCTTGTGGTCCCCATCTCGGATATAGAGATAGACACTGTTGATATTTATCTAGACATATACTAGTCTAAGGCAGTCTGGAAAAAGTACAGACCTAATGTGGCCTTCATACTAATTATCAAGATAATTTGACCTGAGTCAAAAGAAATCATCTTCATTTCGGTTAACGAATTTATTCCACCCCAACCTCTGACTCTCTGTAGAGGAACATTAGTTCTGTGAACACGAGCAATGATTCAGACCACAACCCATAAGCAAAATGTTCAATTACCTTGCTAGTGTATATGTATGAATCTTAGAATGATGTAGCTATCACTGTGGCATGCTTTACAAACACACACACACACACACACACACACACACAGAAGTGCTAGAGGTTTTGCTGACTATTTTTATTTCATGTACCAAAGGAATTAGATACAGTCATTAAAGAAACAAGCACCAGATATTTAGTTATATGCCCAAGATCAAGCTAATAATGAAATTCGAATATGAATTGATCTTTATGTGTCTTCAGTGTCTAAGTTCTTAACAATTACTGTGGTAGAAATTCTCACTCTTTCTCATCCAAAACATAGGACCATTGCTTTCATTGTTTTTACCTCTAAAAGACTGTGTATACACAAATATTCACACACACACACACACACACACACACACACTTTCTCTTAAAACAGACAAAATATTTACCTTAAAAATCCATATTTTAAATATGGAACTAAAAATGTTTTACATTACTCAAGGTCAAAACCTTTACCTATTTTTAAACTCCAAAGGTACACACATTGACACCACAGATATATGGGCATGGAAGTAAAAGATGCTTATCAGCTGTGATACAGTTTGGTACAGCTACAGAGTCAATGAGCCACCACTGTTTCTACACGCAGCAAACAGCAGTCAGAGAAGGACATCATGTCCATCTCCACTGACTCAAAAATTGTTAAGAATAACCATCAAGCTTTTCTAGCTTTTGATTTTCTAGCTTTCCTCTGCATAATAACAGAAGAAAAGTTTTCCATACTTTGGCCAGACACACTTACTGAATTTATCCTAAAGGGTAGATTCATAGCAAAAACCCTGGTTTTCCTAATTTATGCCATTTTGCATAATCACAAGACACAGTCCCTGACAAGGAAATGTCAATACTGGCAGAACGAAAGTCAAGCTAAACCAATGAACATACCAGAGAGCAATTCCAAGTGACTGTTGAGATCACAGAGAAGAGCTAAACTGTATTTTTATACAATGGACCTCTGATCTTGCATACCTAAATCTCATTTTTTGGACTCCTAGGTCAAAGAGAGGACTCTGCTAAGATCTAAGACTCTCAACAGCCATATAGTATGGTCCCTGGCCATGGAAAAAAGCATGCCTGTGATAGAATTCTGACTTTGATGCTCATTAGTAACAGTAAGCAGGGATTCAGTGATGAGCATATCTAGCTAGCTAGCCAGGGATTAGATTCATAGACAAGGGCCGAGGAACACCAAGGCCTGAAAGATCATAACCAGGAGATCAGTGCAGGAATGGAACCTTGAAGTAGTCAACATGAGGAAGTAGGTGGAATGTCATAGGTGGGAAGGGCTTGGAAAGGTCCAGAGATGAGTCTATGGTATGCCATCTCTGCTGTCATGGCATCCTACTAAAAACAGCCTCATACTTCTTTCAATGCCCGACTGTCTTTACCTTCAAAATCTCAGCATTTGTGAGCATTTTGCATGGACTCCTATAAATTATGTAGCTTGAACAGATCATTGTAATGTCAAAGAGACCCAGGGAATAAAAATACATCAAGTACCTACAGATGAGTGATAAGAGTTTGCTGATTGTGATTGGTCTAGACTTCTCTGGACCTTGCAAAATAAGACAGAATCCAAATGTGGGGCATAAAAGAAACAAAAACAGGATAAATTAGGCAAGAGAATTATACATAGATTTAATAACTATGATGACCATACAACTTTTGAAAATGAAGATATCTTACTCTACTGGTCAAAATGGAAAGAATGACCACCCTACAAATAAACTATTCAAAAAACTAGAACACAATTGGGAATAAACATGAATGATACCATTATGACCACAGAAAACCTGTTTGTAGAATATTCAGAACCATTAATGAGGGGAGGGAAAGAGGAAAGCTACTATCTCTAAAAGATGACTAAAACAGAGTAAAATTATTAGTAGTCCAAATTGTTTGAAAACCTGCTTATGTATCGCAGCTGAGTTAAAGGGCTCATCTTACTTTTCTTTCTGTTTTCATACAAGATTAGACATTTTATAATAAACATTTTAAAAAGTAAAATACATAAAATGTATTTTATTCTATCATTGATTGAATAAATACCTAAAATCCCCTATTAAATTATTGCATCAACTTTATACAAAATAATTCTAAAATATAAACAACCTGATTAAAAATAAGGTGAATATCATATGATTTCAAATTACTCAGGTAAATAAAGCAATAGTATTATCACAATTTCCATATTAGGAGATGGAGGGTACAGAAACACAAAAATCAGAAATTCTCTTTTAAAGCTCTTTCCCATAGAAATCATATCATACACATTTAGGTATATTTCAAGTTGAATTTGAATGACTTAGGGTAGTTGTCATGGAGCTTCTAGAATATTAAGGCTGCTTTCATTAGTCTACAAGAGGTAAGACTATGCTATGGAAACAAATTAACCTCAACTCTCGGTGGTTTAAGAAAAGTTTTATTTTCTGGCTCCTTTTATCCCTAATTACACAATAAAATCCAAGGGATTACAGCAAGCTTTCTATTGTCTCAGTTTAAGGGTCACATCACTTCTATTAGCACTTCATTGGCCATAATTTATCATACAATCTTTTTTACTTTTATTTATGTTAGAGAATAAAAAAAACAATAAAAATGATACAGAATTTCAAAACAAGATGATAAGAAATTAACAATGGTTATTATATTATATATTGTTATCATCAAAATAGTTGCTCAGTTTACCAGTTTAGGCATGCAAAATTGATCAAAAAAATGTAAGCACTAACTGTTCCTTTCAATGAGGTCATAGAATTGCAGTAAAATTACCTTAGCAATATTAAGAGACTGAGCAATCCAAAACCTGAATGCATATTTGATGAGCATTATTAGCTTCATATACTGCAACCACTCCTTTGCTCAGTACTATTATATAGAAAGCACGGTCATGATTCCCAGGCGCTCAGATCCTAGAGGTTGAGTGAACACTAAACGTATCTTAAAATGGCTTCGATTTGTCTAAAAAATATTTGGTGGGCAAAGGAATAATGAAACGATGAATACGGGG